CACATAGATAATATTTATTTAAATTATTAAGTAAATGAACTTACTTAAATATTTGTGATTCTGTTTTGCGTCATGTACATTTTCTACAAAGAACAATTGGTGTTCTTGTCCTTCCTGTCTCTAAGCAACTCCGAGCTGGAGTGAAGGGTGGCCTGGGGCAGACGGGCCTGGGGAGCAGCGGGAGCCAGTCCCCAACAGGCAGGCAGAGGAAAGGCAATGGCGGCGCAGGGCCCCACAGGGGAGGCCCAGCTAGAAAACCCCAGGCAAAGGTCTGCACAGCCTAGGAGCACAGAGGACGCAGGAGTGTCCTGGAGGGGAAGGCGTGAGGTGAAGAAATGAGCCCAGACGTCAGCCAAGGGTGCCAGGGGAGGCTGCGGCCCTGACCCACAGGCCCTGCAGAGGACGGTGGCGCTGAGCACTGGGGGGGTCCCGCAGCAGCCTAAGAAACAGGAAAACCACCCAGAAAATTAAAAGGGACATACCGATTTAGTGAGATTACATTGTCCTTCTTTCCCCCTTCTCGTAACAAAACCTGTGGTCACTGGAGAAATTTTGAAAATTACAAAAAATAAAAAAGCACACAAGAGAAGTAAAAGTCCCCGGAGGGCCGCGCCACTCAGACGTGATTCGCTGGTACACTGCTGTCTATTCCTTTAGAACTACTTTAGGCACAAATTCCACGTCATTTCAGAAAACATACACCATGTTGTTTTGAAAACTTTATTTCACTTAACAAATGAACAACTATTTCCCCATGATATAAAATACTCATGTGACCTACAGTTTTTAAATAGTTCATAATATTTCATCCTGGAGATGGACCATCATCTATTGAGAAGCCTGATGGAGACTACTGAACATAAAGGACTTACTGAATCTCACGAATTCCATCATTCCCAAACCGGCATCTCTTCTGGCCCAGGCACTGCTGCTACACAGGGTGTATAATGACAAATCCAGTTTATAGTGGGGACAAAAAATAAGACAAGACCAGTTACAACCAGAAAGGCCAAAGTGACGCTATCCATGTAACAGGCACAAACCTGTGTTCACACTTGCGACTGTTTGTGTCCCCAAAGGACGTGGCCCCTAGGCTATGGTAGTATTAGGCCATGTCAGTAGATTAAGAGGCAGGCACAGTGGGAGGAAGTGAGGTCACTGGGGGCGTGGCCTGGAGGGATTGTGGGATCCCAGCCCTCCCTCTCTAGGCCCAGTTTCCTCCATTACTTACCAGGTCCCCAAAGCAGTGGGCCAACCAATGAGCCACAGAAACCTCTGAAACCATGAGGTTTGCCTCAGGTATTTGGTCACAGTGACAGAAGACTGACTAATAGCTCAAATTTTTGAAAGACAGAATTCGTATTGTCTTTACAATATGATTTTTTATTTGGAGTTTTTACTCTTTTAGGGCAGTTGAAACTCAAGTGCAGTTCACCTTGGACATGTCCCCTTCCATAGTGCTGGTCTATTTGTGTGTGCATGTTGGTGTGTGCGGAGTGTGGCACACTTACCTGTCTCTCCAGTCCCCAGTCCACACAAGCAGCCATGGAGCCATCCTTCAGTCCTGTGCCCCTGTCCTTGCCTAGCTTGGAGTGCTCCACATCCCTTCCGATAGGGCGTTCTCAGCTTCCCTGTCTCCCCCCGCCTTCCAGGACACAGAAGACAGTTCTCCTCAGGGAGCTGCTTGAAGGTAAGTGTCTATCTCTTCTCCTGCTCACTTCTCTCCCCACTTCTGAGTACCTTTCTCTAGCCAGGGTTGGAGGCCACAGGGGGCAAAGGGTTTATCTTTCTTACATTCCTGGCTGGATTTGTACCTGGCTCCCAAAAGCTCAGCTGCGTGGGGAGGCAATAGAGGGGGGGATCGTCTTTCTGCCTCAGAAATGGCCCCCCTCACGGAACCAAGCAGAGGTGCCGAAGAGAGGAAATGCTTCCAGTGGGGCAGGGGTAGATGCTCAGGGAAGGGGAGCAGGTGCCGTGAGAACACGCTGGTGATGGGCAGGCTGGTCGGAGCGAGAACCGCTGCAGAAGCCTGGCAGGCTCCAGATGCCCTGCAGTTCCTCGGTGGACCACGACTTGGAAGATATCTGTCTGCCTGGGTTAATTTAGTACAGTGTATCCTGTCCTAGAAAAAACAAGATGCCACAGCTGACCCTAAGTCTTTCTTGTGAGGTGATGTAGAATTCAGTACTCTTTTGGGCAGAGATGAGTGCTGCTGGACACAAAGGTGCTGGGTTGTCACGCTAATCACTGCTTTTAGGAGCATGAACCCAAGTCATACTTGCTCTGTAAAAAAAGGTTTGACTTCCTGGTGTCTGAGGGAGGTGTAAAATGATTTATGGGCAAGCTCAGTGACTCAAAATGTCTTTGAAACACTCATTTAGATACAAGCAGTTGATCGATTATTTGAAAAAACAATCTTGCCTATGTGCACTGACTCGAGTTACCCACATCTGGGGAGCAGAACCCCGAGAAGCAGCGTGATAGTTTTGTTTTTCCTTTATTCTATTTGATCATCACTTAGTCAATTTAAAAATCATTCCAACATTTTGGCGTTCCTAGACCCATGCTGCAACTTTCCCAACAGCTTCCTGGAAACTTCCATGAAGGATGTGAACACCAGGGCCTGCCCTGGCCTCGGCAGTCCTCTTGCCACACTGGAAGTTGCTGGGCCCCGGTAGAGCACACCATGTAAGTAACAGCAGCAGAGCAGCCGATTCAGGAAGCTCCTCGCCGGGTCACTCACTGAGGGGAGCTTGGAGCCGAGGCTGGCAGCGGGCTCAGGGGCCCAGGGGTCTGTCTTCTGCAGCGTGCGAGTTCTGGCCACAGTTTTATATCAGAATTCTGGTTGGCCGATGTCCCTCCTCCTCCCCCTCAGCAAAGCTGTGAGTGCAGAAGGAGGCTGCAACGTCCTCCTGGGGCCTCCTAGAGCCTGCAGGTTCAGGGGCAGCCAGGCTCCAAGGGGAAGAGCCATGAGCAATTCCCAGGAGAACGGGCATCGGCCAGATGTGCTCTTTCTGAGAACTGCCACACACTGGCATGTTTGCAGTTTCCTTTTTGTTTTGTTTTTAAACAAGCTGAGCACTTTGAGATCTGATTTCAGGGACACTCAACCAGGAAGGAAGTAGACCGCCAAGACAGCCTCACTGAAGAAGCCGAGCAGGAGGAGGAAGCAGGAGCTGTCAAGATGAGTGTCAGTGACACACACACTCCACAATAAGTTTTTTTAAAAAAAATTCTTTATTTATCAACTAATTGAAAACATTACATTGTGACAAACATTGGCCTGTTTTGACAGTGAAATTTATATCACAGTGTATGGCGTGTGGGGAATGTCCACAGAATGTCCTGCCAGAGTCTCAAAAACATGGCAGAGCGCTCGGAGCACGAGGCCAGCCAGGATCCTACCCACCAGCAGTTCTCTCGGGAAAGAGGGCACAGGGCAGAGGAGAGGGAGAAGGGGCCCTCGTCCCCCCAAGAATCTGAAGCACAAGGAGTGTCCGCTGGCGGGCTGGCCTGCAGGTCTCCCTGATCTTCTGCTCTGTGTCTCCCTCCTTCCACTTCGACCACAGCTTACAGGTATGTTCCTCAAGGCAGAGAAAGAGCACGGGCCAGCTAACCTTCATTGCAGTCGCATGTCACCTGGCCAGCAGCAGACACGAAGGACGAAGGAGGCCTCCCTATGGCCCCACGCTCTGGCTCATCGACACGGGGTCCTGCCTTTCTGTTCCTTTGTAGCTTACGTTCCTTCTCATGGCTGTCCAGGTAGATTCCCTAAAGGATGTCCATTCTGTTCTGCTCAGGAAAGATGGAGAGTTTCAAGGGTTCAGCTTTAACTTAATTGGTCACCTGGTCTCTGTGGTCATCCGGAAGACAAGATTTGCTGGCCAGAATTTCCTAAAGGTGAAATTCTAAAAACAAACAACCAAGACCTCGCATCTGTGAGATTTGCACAGTTCCTCTCCGGCGATCCAGAGCTCATGCGCACAGCAAACACGTAACCCTCCGCAGTATCTCCCATTCCCTACAAACTGAATTCTAGTGTGCACATCCCAGGAAACCATGACCGAGGGAACCGTTCCTTTGCGAAGTCCTGAGACAACTGTCTGGATTCTTCCCCTGACCCTTCACTGTCTGCCCCCCACAGGCCCCCTCGTGATTAAGCAAGTTGACATTCATGTATGTGAGGGTGCAATCAGAGGCCGTGGGCCCAACCAACAAGCATGGTCCAGAAAGTGTGGCTTAATTGTTAAAGCAGCAAATATTTCTTTTTCAAAAAAATTCACGTAGCACTAAAGGTCAAGCATCACATGGAGAACGAAGGCTTAGAGGGTCCTGTGGGAAGGTCCTGAAGTGGGCTCTGGTGAAACGCTGCCAGTGGACCGAATGCTCCCAAGAGAGCAGGTGATGGGGGTGGCGCTGGGAAGCTTTGGTACCTAACTGTCTCTCAACCTCCTTAGGATAATATACCCCCAAATACTCTGCATCTATAAGATGCATACATTCCTGCACTTGTGGGCCTCCCCGGGCTCCCCCAGAGGCCCATGCCGCACGGCGAGGAGCCATGCTAACCCTTCTGCACGGCCCAGCAGGCCTCTGCAGGCTGCTCGGGGTGAGGTAAGTGCACTAGCAGGGGGCACAAAGCTCCTCTTAGGGACCCTTCTGGGGAGGATTTGTGTTGGAAGGAAAACAGCTGCCTTTTTTTTCTTCTATTAGACTGCTTACATTTTCTATAGTCCATATGTAATATTTTAGTATTTAAAAGTCCCTTTTTAAAAATGGAAAGCTGACTGTGCAGGGCTTTGTTGCTTGCTATACTTGCTTGTAAAGGCTGTAGCCCGTGTAACGCAAGGGCTACACAGGCATTTAATACGTGCTTGCTGAGCCAGGCGTAGTGTCAGGCGCACACCTGTGACCCCAGCACTCCTGAGGTGGAGGCAGGAGGACTGTCGCAAGTCTGAGACCAGCCCGGGCTACGAAGTGAGCTCAAGGCCAGCCTGAACCGCATAGTGACACACTGCTCCAAAAAGAAAAAGAAAATGTGCTTGCTGAGTGAATGACAGAATAAAGGTTAGGACAAGAGAGCCACGTGTTTGAGAACTATTGACTCTCTTCCGAGCCTGGAGGTAACACCAGTGATTTTGTAGGAGAAAAAATATTGCCATGCAGGCGTCCCCAAGATACAGAAGATAAGGGGTCTGCGGAATCCAAGCAACTGGGGAGCTGGAGATTCAATTCAAAATTAGATTTGGCCAAAGTCCAGTCATTTTAAGGCCCTGACAAACTATTATTGGCATGAGGAAGCATCTAATATACAACATAAGCAGAAACAGCCCCCGAGTGTGCAGTTACACAATCCAAACCCTGCCTGGTCTTCTGCCAGGACTCACCAACCTGAGTCCTGGCTCCTCCTCCTGGTGTTGCCATGGATACTACCAATCGCCCAGCAAAACAAACAGAAGAGGGGAAATGTTACCACGCTTTCGTACTTGGATGGTTAATTTTTCTTCTTCTTTAAGAAGAAAGTCTTAGCAATAATTTCTAGAGAATGAGAAATAACAACATGATAACCATTCCTATCTGAAAGCAGGCCCAGGGATTTTTGGCTGAAGAAAATCCCAACAGAGTTCATCGACTGGCTTCCGGGGTAGGCCAAGGAGAGGAAACGGGGTTTGGGGTGGGTTCCACGGAGCCGCCAGGGAGGTGGGAAGACGGGCCACCCTAAGATTCAGCTCCTGTCACTCAGCAAGTATTTCCACATGAACTGCAGCTCCTAATGCATGAATGCATTTCTTTTGCACGTGTGCATAGTTTGCAAGTTATTTCCCTGAGCAATGAGACAATACTTAAGTTGCCAAAATACAAGTTTTCTCAGTCTTTAAACAAGAACCATATTCCAGATTCAGTTTAAGTGGATGTAAACAAGTAGCTTGGTGAGTTTTCCTCCTGTAAAAGGTGGCAGTCTGCGAGAGGGCAGGGTGGTCAGCTTGCTGGGCAGACGTGAAGACTGCAGTTCCTTCTGGAATAAGCTTGTCTTCCCACCAGCGGCAGGCGATTTTCTATAGCCATTCTTGCTGCGAGCTGTGCTCATCCTCAGCACTGGAGCTGAGAGAGGACAGACCATTGGCTGTCCTCGTCAAAGTCAAGTACTTACAGTTCAAGAAATCCTTTGCCTTGACAACTCTCACTCTGGAATGGAGGAATGTCGGATGGATCTGTGGTAGTCCTCGGGACTGCTGATGTGTTCTGGTAGATCGTAACCCCTCAGGAAATGTCCACTGTTTTGTTGAGCAAAATAATACAGCTGTCTGGCTAGTAGGGGCTCCACCTTAAACAAGACATTGCAAAACGTTACTGAGGTATTTTTTTTAACATTATTTCATCATGAAATAACCCTGAAATTCTAAGGAACAATTGTAAGTAAAAGTCTGAAATTATATTGTATAAAACACCATAATGTTTCATACTTGGAGCCCTCGAAGGGCCAATTGTCTGTTAGTCCTCAATATAGAGCAGCCTGCAGGCAGAGGCTACTTAGCTCTGCATTTCAGTTGAGGCAAAACATAAAGATGATATTTTAAGCCAACTTCCACTTGAAATTTACACTTAACTAAGACTGAATGAACACTATCTGATCAAATCAAAAGGTCAGGCAAATTTCAGGGTAATTTAAGCTAATGAATTTATTTTTCCACAACTGAAGTTTGACAGAGTGATAGGTTCACCCCAAATGACTTAAGATATCCAGGCAGTCTGTAGAATTCTAAACCAAAGGATAAACAAAAAAGAAATAAAATTAAACAGCAACAATTAGAGGAAAAGAGAAATTGATTGGCCTCAAATACATCTAGTTTAATTATTAGTACGGACCACATTCACCAAAAGTCTACATTCAGCTTTTCCTGAACTGCAGCATCAAAGCCCAGCTGAGGATTTCCAAAGAACTGTGCTCTTAAATTGAGCCTTTGTGCTATTTGATAAATAGCGTCTTGCATAACTCCTTTGTAAGCACCTGGGATAAATTAAATCTATCATAATAATGAAGAAGTTCTGCGCGTGCACCCATGCATTTTTCTGTATGGACCAGCGCTTTGATTCTGAGGGGGCCGTGCACGGGGGCGGAACCCCGCGCCTCAGCTGGTGGGGAGGTGTGCCTGGAAGTCCTCATCTCGATCATGTGGGACGTCATGTGGGACGCCACCTTCTGCTCCCCACGCTGCTTGTTAACCCTTGTTTACGTGGTCATTGAGCCATCTCTGTTCACTATGAGATCTCAGTAATTATATCATTCCCTTGAGAGAAGTTAGGACAGTATGCTAAAGTCTGAGATTATGTTTTTGCTGGCTGTTTGACTGGTTTTTATGCCTACCATTAGGAAGGAGGAATTGTATGTCTGTGTTTAAAAAGTGTCTTATTTAAATCTTCTTTCTGTCTTTCATACATTGCAGCTGAAACTCCAGGCCTTCTGCATGCTTGATCGGCGTGCCGCCAGCAAGCCATCCCTCCGCCCTCCAGTTTCAATAAGAAATACCATCAGAGATGGAATCTCATCGGAATTTTGGTATCGTGGGTGTAACTTACCTTGCACTACTCATTCTCTGGGTTTGTAGAAATGTAAAATTTTCAAGCTCAAAGTCATTTTTTTGGAATGACAAATGCTTTCTATGACAAAAGAATACTAAGTGATGCCTTTTCTCTTTTATGAAGAAAATATATACTTGATGAAGTTGCAGGCATTTCAAGCTGGCAAGAGCCCAGAAGGAGCAACTGGTCAACCTTAGAAGATGAGGCTGCCTCTAGAGAACTATTAAATAATTCTTGGAAATCCAGAAAAATAAAAGAGAGGCTGGGAAATGCCTGGAGATGACCCATAATACACACAAGGGAATGGGTCACATCCCCGTTGGAAAGAGATTCTGTCTCTGGGGAACACATGCCAGCTAGACAGTATTTAAAATCCAGAAGACATAAAGAACTTCAAAGGGCAACTTTTAGTGACAATCCTTTCTAAACCTCTGTAAAATGAGAATCTGGCAATTTGAAACACAAGAATAATGGGATGGGGGAAGCCCTTGGCTTGAGTGTCCACTCGGGCCATGTGTGTGGTGAGTGACACAAATGCATCTAGTTTAGATGTGGGTCCCTGGGCTGTGTTGTCACGTGCATGCTTCCTCCTGCACCATCTCAAGGGTCACGACTGTCGTTCTGGGTCACGTGACACTTCCGCCTGAGACCTCTCTGGGAAGTCCGCCTCTGACAGCAGGAGGGCTCTGTGTGGCGCATGCGCAGCGGCTACTCACGTGGGCCGTGATGAGCTTCCTTTGCCGCTGGGGGTCTGGAAACTCCTCTCCGAAGCACAGAGTCACCTGGAAGCGTGGCAGCGGCCGACTGTGGTGCGCGAAGGCCTGCAGCTCTGAGAAACAGGGAGACAGGCAGCCTCAGCAACCCCTGCGACCCGTGCCACACAGAAGCAAGAGCACCCTTCCACCAAATCTCACATGCACACTTCAAGCTGTCGAAGTCCCGCCGGGGTACGTGGCTTGGCCCCCTTTCTCGGCCCTGACGCTTTAGTCCAAGGCACTGCCCTGCAGCCCCTGCCCACAGGCAGGCAGAGGGGTAGAGGAGTAAAGGAGGGAAGAAAAGCAAAAGCAAGGAGCCATGCGGAGCAGAAGCAGCAGCGCACGCAGAGGAGACATTTTCATTATAGAATCAGAGCGTTCCCCAGCCCAGCATCATCTGAAAACTCAGTCCCCTAACTAAGGAGGCCACGCGGCCCAGTGTCTGTGCTCCCCAGGACCCCTCAGTGGCCCAGGCGCTGGCTCCGGCAGCTGCACCCACTCATGCTGCATCTGAGCTGCATAGTGGGGGGCCCTGAGAGGCCATCGGGCACTGTCTTAGGAACAGGACAGTGAGTTGGCTGGGAGCTGAAGAAGCCCCATGGTCCCCAGCCCAGAGCCACTGCTCTTGCCTCAAAGGGCAGGAACAGCACTGTTGGAAAGATGCATGTTCAGGGCTGGAGACGTAACTCAAGGAAAACAGGTACTAAAGCCGTGTGTCCAATCCCTGGAGTGAGCGGGAGTCCCTTCAGCCAGACTCAGGATTCTCAGAAATGCACCTCAAGTCAGAGTCCTCACTGAGAAGGCGCAAGACTAACAGGAGCTTCTGCACTTCCGCCAGTAGCTGACAGCCACATCCTCACCAGATGCCTCTGGGGACCGTCCCCAGCAGGGCGAAAATCCTGAATGGGTGAGACGGCAGAGGTTTCCACTGCTCTGTGCAGCTGAGGAGTTTCTAGCTAACTCACAGGACTACTCAACTTCCTGCACTTTTTTTTCTTCCTGAGTTCAAATCAAACCTCACCAGTGCAGTCAGAATGTGTGGAGCACACTCCCAGAGCTGTGGCAGGGGACCCCACAGAAGCACAGGAGTGGTGAGCAGGCACTGTGCTCTGGAAAAGCCACGCCTCAGATGCTTGCTAATGTGGACACATTTGGTGGGATCCTCCCTTGTGCGCTGCTGCAGCTTTGAAGTCCACAGCATCCTCCCCAAGCCTTTGTGAACCTCAGGGGTTGGGGTGCGGGCGGAGCACAGGCCCCAGCTATGAAGGAAGGTGCAAGCAGCGAGAACAGGGAGAGCATCAAGAGCCCTCGCTCACAGAGCAGCGCGCTGTGCGAGGCTGGTGAGTGCAAGCCCAGGCGCTCATCTCCTGTCCTGCTTCTGGGCCCACCTGCCTCGCAGCCGAGGGCATCCAGCAGCCCTGTCTGTCACAGTGCGGCCTCCTGACTGCCTACAATGTGCACAGCAAGACAAACTTGGCGAAGCCAGTGCTGGTATTTCTGGAACACCTTAGAGCTCCAAAGGCACAGAGCTCAAGATGCACTCTCTTACGAAGTGCCAGCTCGAGGAGCCCCCTCTCCCAGGACCCAGAGGCTGGAAGAGGAGGTGCAGCAGCCTCCTTTGGGCTTCCCACTCCTCTCTGTCCCTCAGCACCAGCACCTGCCCTACCCCAGTGCAGACTTCGAGGCTCGCAGTGGCTGGGGACAGGCCTGTGACCTCCCTGGAGGCAGTCTGCTCCACAGGTGGCCTTCCCACACAGTCCCGTTGGGCAGCCTCTTCCTGCACCTGCCACTATGGGCAGGGTTTATTTAGGGACTATTTGGATACCAAGGAGAATCTGGATGAACCCACACACACTTGGGCCGCGTGAGCCAAATGCCAAGCAGATGCTGCCGGCGCCTGAGCCCGGCACACGGGCCACTCCCATTTCACTTCAGATGCGCTCTCTCACGAAGCAAGTTCACAACACAGCAGCTCCGCAGCTGGGCATGTGCCCAGCAGCAGCCAGGTCAGTGTGTCTGCGGGATACCAGTGCTGTTCACAGTCATCGAAATAGCGAGCTGAGCTAACCATCCACCAGCTGATGAATGGACAAAGAAAATGTGTTTGTGAGGCAGAATACTACTCAGCTGTAAAGAAGGAAATCCCGTCATTTGCGACAGTACAGGCTGCGAGGGCAGTGTTTTCAGTGAAACGTGCCAGGAGCGGAAAGACAAGCCCTGGATGACCTCAGGGTTCTGGGGTGTCTCAATTAGAAAGCCATTACCCCATATCTCTGAATCTAAAGGTCTGAGGTCACACAGGCAGAGAGTAGACTGGTGGTCACTAGAGGCTGAGACAAGGGGACTGTGGAGACAAGGACAAAGGGTACAGAACTCTACCTGCTTGCCGTACATCGCCAAGGCCACAGTTAGCAGGGAGCTTGCCACTGTGTGAGCTAAGCTTTTTCGAGCGGACAGTGCCCTCTCTACTGGAGAAGCACCGGAGAGAAGACCTTCAGGAGTGGTCACAGTGCACAGAGTGCAGGGGAGTGCGTAGTGCGTGCTGATGAGCTGGGGTCACCTGCTCTGTGACATGCACATACCACACAACAACGTGCTGTATCCCTGCTTGTGAATAAGGGGTCCCACGAAAAAGACCAGATGTGGTGCTTACCATGGGTACCCATGAGAGGACAGGGCCAGTGTAAGGAAGGACAGAATGGCAGGGGACTGGCAGCCTTGTCCGCCCCCTAGGAGCTACGGGACACTTCGGAGGGAGCCCTGCTATGGCTTGCTTGGTGATGTCGTGGGCGCCAGCCTCAGGCTGATCTAACTGTCATGAAAGCAAGACAAAAACAGCACAGCATGCCGGTCCTAGGACTCGACGCAGAGCACGCTCCGGGGGGCAAGGCGAAGCTTTCTCCTCCTTTCCCCTTCGCTACCTCAACCCACGCCCCGCCCTCCTGGGTCCACCTGTATGGCGTCTGCCTGGAGTGACACAGCCCACAGCCAGGAAGGGCAGCAAGATACCTAACTGCCACAGTTTTTCAGGAACCCAAAAGAGCTGAGGTCTCAGCAGAGAAGTGTGATGAGACCTTTGCCAGGAATACAGGACAGTGACAAAGGGTGGCTACTGAAAATCAGAAAGGTAAGCACTAAGCCTAAGCCGTGATCCTCCGGGATTACGCTTCTGGACTCTGGGTCTCTGGTAACAAGAAGAGAGGCTGACGGGGCAGACGCGGACATGAGCCAGGCAGGACCTCTGTTCTGGGATGAGGCCCCAGGCTCTGGGGGCAACAAGAGGAAAGCCTCTACCTCGGGTAGGAGGGACCCTGTGACACACACCATGGCCCCCTCCCTGCAGACAGTGAGATGGTACCTGACAGAAACTGCTGCGTGTCGAAGAGCTTGCAGGTCTGGTCTCTCTCCAGCTTGTTGGGCCGGTCGCTGCACAGTGCCAGGGGCCCATCCCAGTAGATCCTGCTCTGGCACAGTCTCTTGGCATAAAGCCCATCCGGGGCCATCCACAGGACCACACCCCTCTCCAGGTGGCTCAGCAACTTCTCGATGTTCTTCCTCTGCCCGCTGTCCTCTGGGTAGGGGAACAGGACGGGGTCTAGGTTGCTGGCATCATAGGTGTGTCCGTGGGAGATCCGGCAGCCTTCGGGGCTGGATGTGGTCACCTCCTTCACCAGGATTTCACGGTAGTACAAGCAGATGTGCAGCCGGCAATCTGCAAGCACAGAGCTCTGGAGTCAGCGAGTGTGGGCCTGGGATGCCCCCTGCGGTGCCCACGCCTGGGCCACAGAAGAACGCAGCAGGTGGCTTCTGGCTTCCCGAGGGGCTCCGGAGCTGGTGAGCAACAGTCCTGGGACTCCGGAGACACCCCAGGTGCCCACCTCCTCCAGAGAGCCTCGGCTGCGGCACACTTGCTCAGCGAAGCCAGCAGTGCTCACAGCCGTGTGATCCCTGTGCCTCCTTTTTTTTCTTTTTCTTTTCTTTCTTTTCTTTTTTGAGAATAAAGGAAAGTATGTATTTCATTAATTTTCTGCAAAATGTGTTTAAGTCAATGAAAGTGTCCCTCTGCTAAAGAACTAAAGCAGTCACTCTGTGGATGATGACAGTGGAGACAATATTTAGATCTGCAGTACTGTGTCACTGCTGACTACTCACCTTGGGGCAGGTCCTTCCGGACCTCAGTTTTGGAGGGCATGAGCCCTAAGCCAAATTTCTGCTGCACAAAGTGTGCAAGAGCATTTCAGAGGAAAAACAAGTGGATGCATCCACACATGCAAGCGTCCCTGAAGCATCAGTGTGACAACAGACAGGGAGGGTGACAGACACGTAGTAGGTGACAGAGAGATGACAAAGAGACAGCAGTGTAGGAAGAAAGCAAGCTAGCTAAGCCCTGAGCTCTGACCTATGAGCGGTGATTTCCAGGTGGTAGAATACTTTTTTCCCATTTTGTTGTTCTGATTTTTAAAATTAGTTTTCTACAGTGGGTATATGCTGCTTTTATCATAGAATTAACTCTAGGGAAAGCAAACGAATTACGGCTGGGGTGCAACTTGGGAACAGCACACCTTTGAGAACCTAGACTCCAAGCCCAGCAGCAAAAGGTGGAAATCAATGAGCCACGCCGTGGAATCCGCTGCTAGTGCGAAGCTGCTCAGACCTGAGTTTGAGCAACTCTAAAACTGGGCTTCCTAAACACTTAAAAAAGATTAATTTATTTACAAAAGTGTTACTGATTTGAGAAACCTCTCGCCCGCAGACTGAAGGACCATGCTAAGCTAGCTGAGGCTCCTGAAGGCGAGACTGCAGCTCAGCGTCTTCCACGGGCAGTGGCAGTGGCCGTGGCCGTGGCCAGGAATCACACTCTGAGAAGTGCGCCCAAGGTGACAACTTATCTGCACTGTGCTTAGCAAACAAAAAAGAAACCCACAAAGCCTCGTGGTCCTCTGGCAGGTTCTGAGATGGAGCCCACACCACAGTGTCTTCCATTTCTGCACTGTGAGCCCAGAGCCATGCCACAGCCAGTGTGAGTGGGTGTTGGCTATCGGAGGTGACTTGAGGGGCAGGCTTCATGTCATCTAATGTCATCAGAAATCACGAGGTTGAAGATGTATAAATAGCTGGTTATTTCCTATTCTCAAGCACCCACACAAGTCTTAGGTGCTCAAGGAAGGGTTTGAAAGTTTCTAAAAACAAACACAAGCCCTGCTGCTCGGAAGCGCCTCCCCCAGCCCCAGGGGTCCTGGTGATTGGTGAGCGTCACCACCCCCACGGCCTTAGCGCTCAGAAGGACTAGGAGTTAAGCTGCTGCTCACTGGTGAGCAGGAAGGGCCCAGGTCTCAAGCCCTCTGACACCTTCAGAATTCAGTTTACATTCTCTGTCAGAGACATTCAAAGAGGTTGGGGAAGTGTGAGAATTCTGAAGCCTAAGTTGTTGATTTTTACTATGAATTCAAATTCTACTAAGGAACAACTTGTATTATTTAAAGACTAAGTTGTCTAGAGGACATATGCCTAGTTCAGCCTGAAGTGCCTTCCTCAAGCAGATCCATGGTGGCCTTAGAAGTGGGGTGTGTAAGCCAGGCTGAACTGGAGTTTGCCTGCAAGTCTCCTGGGCATCCGGAGACTGAACTGTGTGCTGCCCGAGGTGTGAGCTCCAGAGAGTACGCCAGGGACAGTGGCCTGGGGAAGTTACAGCTGAGTTTGTGGCCAACCCTGGAAGGACCGACAGCTTTTCAAAGTGGAGGTTGTTATAATTCCGGGGAAATTGTCCTGCACAGTGCGACTGCTGGCCACAGGGACCCTGGCTGCAGGGACCTAGGCTGTCATTGCTCCTGGAAGCTCGGGTGGCACCTGAGGAGAGGTCAGATGCCTCTAGCCACTCACAATTGGATCTGCGACCTGGGGCGCGAGCGCTCCTCACTGCTCCCGGTCAACCGCAAGCCCACTTCAGGCCCAGAGGGTACAGGGCCAGGGTCTGCATGCCCCCCAACACTACCCAAATGCGAGAGGAGCCAAAGCGAAGCGGCCTCCCGCAGGAGCTTCCAGAAAGGAGCGCGGCACTCACCTGACAGCGCTAAGGCTTCGGCAGACCTTATGCTTGGCTCTATGGGGATTCCAGGAGCCTGGGACTCAGGTGGGGCACAAGCATAAAAGGTTCCCGTCACCTGGCAACCTGCATTTGCAAATAAAAGCAGAAGGTGTCTGAAGAGGGTCTGAGTTGTCAGGCCTTGCCTGGGGCACCTTCCAGCCTAAGCCCAGCAGGCAGCTGACTGGGCAGCACAAGCTCTTAGGGCAAAGACAAACTGAAATCAATTGGAGAAAACAAGGCTGAAGGAGGAGGGGCCGCTGTGCAGTGCTGGAAGGAAATGCACAGCTCGCTCTGTAATGCATAAGTAGGGAAACTGAGGCTCAGTGAGAGGCCAGGGGATCAGCTCCTGTTCACACAGCATACTCAAAGCAAGACAGTGAGCTTAGGCTGGTGATTTCTGACAGAAAGAGCCTGATTGAAAACCAGCGAAGCATGAGTCTGTGTCTGTTTTTCCTAGAACTTCTGGGTTCAGGAGAAATCAGAGCTTGGTCTCAGGCAGCTCAGCGGCTGCGAGTTGCCTTACACAGAAACGGGGAAAGAAATGCCCTCAACTTCACTGCGCTTGCTTGCCGCGGCTGCGCGTGCAGCTCGCAGCACTGCCCTCTGGCACCGCACTGTCCACCGTTTAGGGCTGCAGCTGGCGCTCTGGCCATGGACCTGAGCTCCTGAAACGGGAGCTGTTTCCTCCGCTGGATTTAGAAAACCGACCTGCATTGCAAGTCACCCTGGAAAAGCCCATGACACCGGATTCTGAGCTTCTCTGCTTCACAGGCCCCTCGGTACAAACAACGAGAAGTGATGAGCCTCTTCGGTGCCCATAGGCAAGGATGACTTCCACAGGCAGGAAAGGGTTGCCTTTTAGGGAGCAGACATCCCAGAGTGCTCACATGTCTGGCATCTCAGGGCCTTACCTAAAGCTCGCGATGGCTGTGTTGAACACAGCTTGTATGATTTCTTTGCACAGAGCTACATAAGATCTGCTGCATGATCTCATTTGATGCCACTGGACCCTGGTGGGCAGCAGACCACATCCAATCCTGACTATGCAAGCCTTGGGGCTCAGTAGTGGCAGGTCTGGTGGGGACATTTCCTGACTTTTTTCCTGCTGCTTATCCACTCCCTGCTTGTCACCACCCAGCACACCAGAGCAGTCAGGGTGGACACACCACTGTTCCGGGATGCACAGGAGCTCAGCGACGGCCCACTGGCCCTGCCCTACAGGGCATGGCCACAGCTGGAGCTTGCCCCTTGTAAGGGCGGGTGGACAGAAATAGACTCCTGAGTTGGGGCCTGCAGTCAGCATTAAGGGAAAATCCAGGAGGGAAGACTGCCAACATCCATCACATTTTGCTTACGATTACAAAAAAGATTGTTCAGCCAGGATGAAAAGTGTTACTACATTAAACTTAAACAACATATCAACAAGCACTTGAATCCCAGCCTGGGTCTCAAGTGGAAGGCTGGGTTGGGGGTCATTGAGCAAGCCCCTCACTCTTACTGGGTGGCTTGGGCAAGTTCCTTCCATTCTGGGAACTTGCAGGAACTCTTCTATTGTTTTAAAGGGCAATTTCAGCTCCCTGGAACGATCTTTGATATTTATAATTGAGGACCCACATGCAGTGGGGCCTGCACAGATCCTGAGGGTCAGTCTGGCTCTGAGGACTTGGTTAGCATCCTGGTCTTGCTAGGCACTGGAGCAAGAGGCAGCCTGTGGTGCCTCCCAGGCCCCTCGGTCTCCCACAAAACCCGCCCCATGCACTCTTCTGTCTCAGGCCCCAACACACTCCTTACCGTTCTCACAAGCTGGGCCTTGCCAGTGGTGGCTGCGGGGACCGAATGGCATGGGACACTGATACGAGATTTCTGAATGTGACTGGTCAGGGACATACTCCCTCCAGGGGCGTTCATGGGGTGGCATCATGTAGTTGTGGACCTGCTAAACGAATGCAGGAGGGGCTGAGATGCAAAGTGCCAGCATGGGAAGTGGGGCGCTTTCACATCCACCCGGACTCCTCAGGGAACCCCTTCTTTGGCCAGCAGCCAAATCATTTCATCATCCAAAAGAGCCAATGGAACTATCAGGCCAGGTGGACAGGGCCCCAGAGGACGGGGGCACAATGGGGTGTTGTGGGGAAGCACAGCCTGGTACATGGCATCATCATATGGCTGAGCCCAGCCCCAAAATGCTGTGGGGAACTCTGTCTCCTCCCCACCACCAAAGGGAGCACAACAGAGCTGCCATTCAGGCCAGGAAGGCCTGCAGCCATTAGCCGCCCTGTGGTTTCACATGACAAAGCTCTGCTTCCAAAATCTTCAACTGCTGTGAGAGCTGTGGTTCCCAGGGGATCTGAGGAACTGGAAGAGCCATATTCCCACAGGGGCATACACCCAGTCTCCTCATTTAATCCTAAACGCTAGTGGTGGTGCTGGGGCACTTAGACCACAGTGACTAGGGACTGTCTGTGCATGACCACTGGCCACATCACCCATGTGCATCAAGTCCTCTGTGGTGTCCGGGTGTCTCCGCTCTGTGGGCCCAGCATGGGGACCTGGCCCGGCCCTCCAGAGCCCACTGCCCCCCTCGTACCTGGGCGGGGAGGGATGTGTATGGTGTCGTCATGGAGTAGGGGTGGCCGATGGCCATCTGCGGGTCTTCCAGGGTGAGCTGCTTGGCTCCTGTGTGTTTGGGGAAAAGGGAAATGGAACAGAGTGAGAAAAGGAACTGACTTAATGTCAAATCTTGGAAAAATACCTGAGGGCTTAATTCTTAGAATGCAGAGCTCTGTGCTGACAGACAAGCATCTTCTAGCAATGCCCTCGGGCAGTTACTCATGCCGGCATCAGGTCTGACTGGTGCAGGAAAGGTAAGAAATTCACGAGACAAGGTGTGGGAGTGCCCTCTGTGGGTGCCAGCCGGACGGCATTATTTATTTAAAGTGGAGCTCTGCTTGGGACACACCAGTGCCACTTTAGGAGGCCCAAAGATCTGAGTTGAGTAAGCACTGTTATACTCTTAAAAGTTGGCACTTTAATTCTTATGAGTAGTAACACTTTGTGGGTGTGTAGTGTGTTTCCTCTTCTAGAAAATAGTTACAAGAACTATTAGACAAACAAAGCTTTAATGAATCTTTCAGGTTTGGTTTTTTTTTTTAATTTAGTCCATACTGTAAAAGGACACAGACCCTTCACAGGTGCTCCCAACCATGCTCACACACGCAGGCTTTACAAAATGATCCTATACCAGTATCACAGGATTTTCAACTTGAAAACCACAGACCTTGGGCAAAGGACCCACCAGGCTATAAAAACGCTAAAACAGAAGGTGGTTCTCAGAAGGAAATGAAGCTGCTTAAGTATCCACTGCCCCCGGTCTGCAACCCAGCTTCAGGGAAGCCCCTACCTTTCTTGGCGCCCTCTGGGACAATCCTGTAGACCTTGTATGGGTCTGAGATGTCCAGCTGGCTCCGCTCCACCAGCTCCTCAAAGTCGTTGCTCTTGTTCAGAGCACATCTCAAGCGTGTCTTCCAGGTCGGAGGGTCCGGCTTATCAATACCTTCTCGGAACTTTCCTTTAAATAGTGCCCAAGCCTGGGAGGAAAGAGTGGAGCAAAAGGAAATCAAAACATGGGCCTTTTAAAAGACAGTGTGGGAAATGCATTTCTAAAAGGAAGAATGTTGCCTGGGATTTATGCTGAGGCTCGGAATGTGGCTTGGAATGTGGCACAGAAAGACACCAGGTGTCCCCTGGGTAAAGTAATTCTCTAGGACTTCAGACTGCCAGGTGGGAGAGAGTGGCTTGACCATTTTCTGGATATTTATGAAGGATGGAGTGAAGTACGGAGGCTGCTGGAACTGGCTCTAGTCACCCTGGCTGAGACAAAGGGGAGGGCCCAGGGTGGAGCACTGCGCAGGAGAGGTAGGGACAGCGAATTCCCGGAGGAAGTCCCCTTCTAGCCATGCAGGTGGGGCCGCCCGCTTCCCAGCCCACTGGGGAAACTGCTCTACTGCGCACAGGATGGACGGCACAGGAGCGAGAGGGAGAGGGAGAGAGAGCGACACAGACAGAAGTAGCCATACCACTCCAGAGCCAGGGGACAGAAGGAACCAAAGAGAAAGATCCCGGGAGAGAAAGAAAAACAGGGAACACACAGCGGAAAGGAGAAACAGAGACGGCTAAGGGTGAGACAGAGGCCTGCCCCGCAGCGATCAAAGGGGACCGAGAGGGAGCACAGGTCAGGGTCCCACCGGGTGGAAAAAGAAGCCCACCCAAGGGCCCTGCCTGCCACGACCGTCCTCTAGACCGCCCCTCTCGGGCCACCTGAAGAGCTCCGCGGCCCGCCCTGCCCCAGGCTCAGCATCAGATCGGTTTCCCTCGGCCCAGCGACTGGAAGCTTGGCCCCGGCCCGGCCCTCAGGCCCTCGGCCGCCCGCCCGCCCGCCCGCCCGCCCGCCCGCGTGGTCTGCGCGGCGACCTTGAAGAGGGCGGCGTCCTCTTCGCGGTTGTAGTCCTGCTTGCCCGCGTGCTTCCACGGGATGCGGAAGATGCTCTTCTCCTCGTTCTCCCACACCAGCCCGGGGTACTTGCCGCTGTCGATCTGGTCGATCAGCCACTGGCGCAGCTTCCCGTTGCCGCAGCTCACCGCGCTCATGCCGAAGTCCGCGCCGCGCCCGCCGCCGTCCAGGTTCATGCCGACCCAGCGCAGCCGGATGCGCTCCTCCGCGGGCTGCGGGGCGTGAGACCTGAGCTCCGGCGGGACGGCGGCCCCGGCGCTCCGCGCGCGCCTCCCCGCAGCCGGCCGTGCGCCCACGCGGGGCCCAGCTCCCCGCGGCCGAGAGCTCCGGACGCAGTTTCCCGCGCTCGCCACGGCACCGGGGCACCTCGCGCCGGTCCCCGCGCTTGGCCGCCCCTCCCGAGCCGTCTCCATCGCGTTTCCTCTCCGGCTCAGTTTCCACTCTCCACACCCACGAGCCTCGCGGCCCCGCGCACGCAGGACCCCGCACGTGGACTCGCCGGGTCCGGGCCCCCGCGGCGCAGCACCTGTCTCCGCCTCCCTACGCTTTCCTCTCCAGCGCCCTCACTGTCCCCCAGTAGCCCGCACTTGCCCCAGCCAGAGGGGATCAAAGTGTGCTCACAGCAACAAGTGGCCGGGACCGGCTAACAAGCAGCGGGCGCGCAGTGCCCGGACCTGGGCCCGTTAGGACGCCGAGGCGGGAGAGTGCGATGCTGGCCCCGGGCCCAGCCCGAGAGGCAGCTGCAGCGCGGGGTTCTGAGCGCCCCTGTTCGGTCGCTTGGTCCTGAGCCGGTCTGGCACCGCGCGCCGGGGCGTCGGGCGCCTTTGGGACACGGAGCGCGAGCAGGAGCCCGGCCCGGCCCTGGACAGTCGGGTGCGCACGTCGCACGCAGTCTGGACCAGGGGTTTGGCCGGGGCTTGCCTGATGTCTCCCCTGCCCTCGCGGGGCCTCCAGCGACCCCGACCCGCTTCAAGCGCGTCCCCGCGGCTGCCCTGCGCCGCCCGGGTCCCGGCCCTGCCTGACCTCTGTGGTCACGGTCCCTCCGCGTCCTGCCCCACTCCAGGCCTTACCTCGCGGGACCCGAGTTCAAGGGCAGAAACAGCGCGAGGTGAGAAAGAGGAACTTTTTATCTGAGCCGCTGGGGGCGGGGCGCGGCGGCTCCGCCTGCCCGGGGCGGGGATCTCGCGCCGCTGTCAGGCGGGACCCGGGACCCGGCGACCCGGCCACCCTATGACCTGGTGCACCTGCCCAAGAGCACCGCGCTCAGCGAGGCTGGGTCTACAAGAGGCACGACCGGGACCAGCGACAGCGGGCGGGAAGCATGGCCCCTGGTGGTGGGAATCCGGCTAGAGGGGGCCGCAAGTCGTCCCCAGGAGCCGGTCAGGAGTGGGGCACCTCTGGCACTGTCACGGGCCTAGGGGCAGGGGTCCTGCCTCTCCGACGGACGGACGTAGGCTCAGTGCACAGCCACAGGCTGAGACTGAACACTGCTACTAAACTGAGGAATGGAGGTGACAGAGCTGAGGCTGTGGCCCCAGCTGCAGCGCTCACAGCGCGAGGGATGGGGGTGGTGTGAAAGGTAACCGCAGCTCGCTTTACAGTGACATCCTTCAATGTGCTTTGTGGGAAGCAGTGTCTTGTGGAGTATACATGTCCAAAACAGTAAGAGTAGTTGAGCAGCCCCAGGATTTACGTAATTTTCCAAGCCGTCTTTAATCTCCAAACTTAGCCCCTGTGCTGCTACCAGGTTGACTTGGATGAGGCCAGCCCAGCATATTTATTTAGTTCACATTTTCAGGTAAACCATCCCATCAGAGTTTCTATATGATTTCAGATCACCTCCATGCGGGGTCAACTTGCAACTTTTAACAACTTTTGATTTCACTTATTTCTCAGTTATCTTAATTTTCTCAATCAGAGGAACAAACAAGGTCAGGTCAGAGTGAGGCAGGCAGAGACCTACACATAAGTGTGCTTTCCCTAAAACTAACGGACCTTCTCAGAAAGTAACAGGATGCTGTGTTTTTCTTTCACCCAAGTGAAGTTTTCCATGAGTCGCTGTAATAAACAACAGGGTTTCGTTCAAAGAAAATTCTGGCCACAACCTGTTTTTCCCCTTTCTTCTCTGTCACCCATTCATTCGCTGAACGTGTTTCTGGGCCCTTCCGACCTGGGCAGCGCAGGGGCACTGGGCCAGGGGCGATGAAGCAGGGGCCACCGTGTTACATGGCTGACTGCAAACTCCTTTTCTAAATGTGCGCAGACAAGACTGCTGAGGACCAAAACGACAGGCTGGAGTGGCGGCACTTTCGCACACGTGTTCTCTGCACAGGATTTAGTCAGTTTCAAAATTTTCCTCTCCCCTACATCCTCTGTTTAGAAATTCAAAACAACAGTCATCCCGCGATTTTTTCTTTTTTTTAATTTACACAGCTACCTTCTTTGAAGAAGTGACTGCTGACCTTCAACGCCATCTTCTGGTTTAGTTGCTTGTCATAGACATCCACTAAAAGCAGATATTTTTAATGATGACCTGCACGCAAAAAATGACCTGAGTCACGAAAGCCCTGGGTGTGCCCGTTACCTCGGAGCAGGGGGAGAGGGTGGGCACTGCCAACTGCTGACTAAAAAACTTTTCCACTTATAGGCACCGTTGAAACAAACAAATATATGACAGCTTGGAACTTCCTCTTCCTCTCTTCCCTCGTGGAGACCTGAGAAAATCACTGTTTCTATAAAACCAGACATTTATCTTCAAATGCCACCACTTGTTGACAAAGGAAAATGGAAAATCAGCGAATTCAGCATCTACCTCAAACAAAAGCCAGCCCCACTCTCTGGGAGGGAGCATTTGCAGGGAGTTCCCCAGGCGAGGCACTGCTCCAGGGCAGCCTGATCTGAACTCAGAATTTAAATTTTCAATTCATATTTATTATAAAAGGACTGTAAGAAAAACTAGATGTACCTAAGTCCAGCATTTTAAAGATCAGTCTTTTACGATGATGTATCTTTCAATCACATGCAAGAAAATGTTTTATAAAACCCATACTAGAAACACCTGAAATAGGTGGGCTGGACACAGCTTGGTGGAGGGCACTTGCGTGGCAGGAGCTGGCCTTGAGTGTCTCCTGTGGGGCGGGCTATGTGGAGCAGGAGCAGGAGCTGAGCCCTGCCTCGGGACACCATTGCCTCACTGATTCGTTCTTTAAAAGGGAGGAGGACTACAATTTGCTAAAACCAATGTACTTTTATTGTTGAGAAATTTTAGTGTGTTATTGTTAGTTGTAAAAGCTCTAAACACGTTCTGTTGTTTTGAGGCTCCTCTCTTGGGGTAACCTTTCCCTTGCTGCTGACCGCAGGAAGTGCTGTCACTGGGACTCAGTGCTGTGGCTGCGGCCCTGGAGGAGCTGCTTGTCTCAATGGCAGTGGTGTCTTTGGGTCCAGGTGGTGAGAATGACGTGGTGGCACCCAATGCCCGGTGTATCCTAGCTGTGTGGGCGCTGGGACTGTGGCCGTTCACATCGTCTCTCAGCGCCTGGAGAAGGTCAAGGAATGCTTCTCATCTGAGCCAACCCAGGTGGGAGGGCAGTGAGGCTGCAGCCTGACTGTAGAGATGAGGAAACACATCAGCGAGGTCTGCCGAGGCCCCAGGGTACACCTCCGCCCAGCGGGCCTCTCCGCCCACTTCTGGCCAGCCTCTGAACCAGGCTGGCACCACCCTCAGAGGGGCTCACTCCGGGCCCGCTGCTCGTGGCTAAGTCAGTGCCACCGACACCCCGTGCCTGCTATGTGGAAGTTGGCAGCAGGGGACCCCTGAGGTTTCTCCTCAACCTAAAGAATTTTCTTCTTTGTGTGCTCACAGCCAGTAATGGCTTCCCAGAGGCCTTTTTGTTTATGATAAATTTGGAGTCAGAAAAAGTGTGTTATTATTATTATCCTTATAATGATGAGGATGATTGTTACCAGGGATCGAGCTCAGAACCTTGCTTGCCAGGCAGGCGCTTGTGCCACTGAGCTGTCCCCCAGCCCAAACTGTTGTGCTACTGTTAAAGCCGCCGACCTCAGCCCTGGTCCGGACTGCATCCTCCTTCCCGGAACTAAACTCATGCTGAGGAAACTGGAGGGAAAGGCTGCTGATTCTCAGCCACGTCTCCCGAATATTTAATCCTCTGGAGAAAAAGCAATCTTGTGAAAGGGAACAGCATGCTTGTGAGATGGGAGCTGGCACCTTCGTGAAATGCAGATGTGTGTGACGTACTCTCACTGCACAATTAACGAATAGAATCAAGTTGAACATTCTCCGTAAAGTGATACATTCCCTAATACCAGTTGTATGGACCACAAACTGGACTTTCTTGTAGAGATTTGTGTATACTTAATTTTCCAAATTCTCTGAGTTTTCCTTGACAAAGCCTTTTCAGAGCTCTAACTCAAACATACCCAGAGCATGGGCTGTGCAAAGTGGCCCGTGAACCCCTTTGGTGCCCAGGGGGAACAGGCATTTCTGAGGCAAAGGCTAGCCAACTTTCTGGCTTATAGGAAATAGGACTCGCCACTTTAATTGATCATGTATTAAGAAGTCCCCTAAAGTCAAAGGCATTAGGGCCACGCTGCCTCTGTTTCCTCTGTTCATAAACAATGACTGTCTCCTGTTAGTCTCCGGGGGGCCAGCATTCTAAGAAGTTCCCTTGCAATGTTGCTGTCACACTCGCTGCATAAGCGGTGACGTGCCTTTACAGCAACCAGCCGACCCTGCCAACTCCCTCTCCCAGCCAACACGAACGGTTTGCAATCACTCTGAGCAGTTTTCTGGACCTGGGAACAGTGGGTGAAAGGCAGGTCCTCATGTACAACCGTGCACCATGCTGAGCTCATCTCGACTCTGCCAACTGCATGCTGTGCAACACTTGTGTCACCCTCATGCACAAGGTGCCACCTGTGCTGTGGCACTTGGTGTAGAGTGCATTTTTCAGGAAAGGGAACAGCATGCTGTGGGAACAAGGTGCTCTGAGACTGTGTGTGTGTGTGTGTGCGTGCGCGCGTGCCTGTGTGTGTGCACATGCACATGTGTGGGTATGTGCATGCGCATGTGTTTGTGTGTGCGTGCACATGTGTGTGCGCATGCGCGCGCATGTGTGTGTGATGTGCTGGCCTGGGGTTTTCTTGAGCATCCAGTCTGCTGAAGGAGACAGGCGCTGGAA